ACAAGGAATTAATGTAGAATTACAAAATGATGTATGAACAAAATGAGAATATTAACAAAGAGGTAGGCACAAAAAGAAACCAAACAGAAATTCTGGAGCTGAAAATACAATTACAGAAAATTAATTCACTGGAGAGTTTCATTAGCAAATTTGAGATGGCAGAAGAAAGAATCAATGAACTTGAAGCTAGGACAATTGAACTGTTACAATGAGAAGAACAGAAAGAAAAAATAATAAAGAAAAATGAACAGAGACTAAAAGGACAGTGGCACACCATTAAGTGGGCAAATATATGCGTTATGGGAATTCCAGAAGGAAAGGAGAAACAGAAAGGGCAGAAAGAATATTTAAAGAAATAATGGCCAAATACTTTCCAACTTTGATCAAATACATAAATTTGCTGATACAAGAAGCTCAATGAATTACAAGTAGGATAAACCCAAGGAGCTTCATGGCAAGACACATTATAATAAAACTGTTGAAAACCAAAGATACAGAGAGAATTTTGAAAGCATCAAGAGAAAAGTGAACTGTCACATACGAGGGAGCCCCAAAAAGACTAAGTGTCATTTTCTCGTCAGAAACAATGAAGTCCAGAAAGAAGTGGAATGTTAAATTCAAAGTTCGGGTGGGTGGAGGGAGAAGGAACAAAAACTCTGTCATCCAAATCTGTCCATCAAAAATGAGGGTGAAATCAAGACATTCTTAGATATAGAAAAGCTGTAGAGTTTGTTGCTGCTAGGTCTACCCTAGAAGAACTGTTAAAGGGAGTCCTCTAGTTTGAAAGGTGAGGACACTAGATAATAACTCAAAGATGTTTGAAGAAATACAGATGTTCATAAAGATAATTTCAAAGGCAAATATAATGGCCAATTTTGCTGTATTTTTGTTGGTAACTATATTTGTTCTGGTGGCGCAGTGGTTAAGATCTTGGCTGCTAACCAAAAGGTTGGCAGTTTGAATCCACCAGCCACTCCTTGGAAACCTATGGGGCAGTTCTACTCTGTCCTATAGGGTAGCTATGAGTCAGAATTGACTTGACAGCAACAGGTTTGATTTTTTTTGGTATATTTGTTATGTTCTATGTAAAATAAAATACAAAAGTATAAATAATAATTATAAATATATGACAGTAGATACATAATGTATAAAGGTGTAATTTGTGACATCTACAACATAAAAGGGGTGGAAGGAGCGTTATCGGAATGGAGTCTTTGCATGTTATTGAAGTTATGTTTGTAACAATGTAAACTAGGTTGTTGTAAATTTAGGATGGTAAATGTAATCCCCATGGAGACCACGAAGAAAATTCCTCAAATATATATACACAAAAAGAAATTAGAAGGGATTCAAAACAAAAATTCAACTAAAAACATAAAAAGGGAAGTATTTGAGGAGATAAGGGACAAAAAATGTATAAGACACACAGAAAATATATAGCAACATCGCAAAAGTAAGTCCTTCTTCATCAATAATTGCTTTAAATGTTAATGGATTGAATTCTCCAACCAAAAGGCATGGATTGACAGAATGGATAAGAAAATACGACCCAACTGTATGCTGTCTACAAATGACCAATTTTAAATCAAAAGACACAAATAGGTTGAAAGTGAAAGGTTTCACACAAGTAGAAACCAAAAGAGAGCTTGATGCCCATATGAATATCTGACAAAATAGACTTTAAGCCAAAACTGTTATGAGACAAATAATAACATTATATAATGATAAAATTATCAATTCATCAAGAAGAAATAACAATTATAAATACATATGCACCTAGCAGCAGAACCCCCAAATACTATGAAGGAAACACAGACAGAACTGAAGGGAAAAATAGATAATTCTACAATATTAGTTGGAGACTTCAACATACCACTTTCAAGAATGGATAGAACAGCCAGACAGAAGATCAACAAGAAAATAGAGGCCCTAAATGGCACTACAAACTAACTAGATGCAACAGACATTTATAGAACACCTCACCCAAGTACACCAGAATATGCATTCCTTCCCAGTACACATGGATCATTCTCCAGGATATACCATATGTTAGATCACAAAGCAAACCTCAATAACTTTAAAAAAATTAAAATCATACAAAGTATCTTCTGCAACAATAGTGGAATGAAACTAGAAATCAATAATTGAAGGAAAACTGGAAGTATCACAGAAATGAGAAAATTAAACAAAAGACAACTAAACAACCAATCGATGAAAGAACAAATCACAAGGAAAAATCACAAAATACTTAGAGACAAATGAGAATGAAAGCACAACACATCAAAATCTCTTGGATATGGCAAAGGCAGTACACAGAGAGGAGTTTAGAGCTATGGACATCTACATTAAAAAAGAAGAGGCCAAATCAATAACCTAATTTTACATCTTGAGAAACTAGTAAAGGAAGAGCAGACGAAGCCCAAAGCAACCAGAGGAAAGAAATAATAAAGATTAAGCTGAGATAAATGAAATAGAGAATAGAAGAATGATAGTTAGCAAAACCAAAAGTTGGTTCTTTGAAAAGATGAGCAAAATTGACAAACCCCTAGCTAGACTGACAAAGAAAAGAAAAGAGAGAGAGAAGATGCTAGTAACTAAAATCAGAAATGAAAGTGGCAACATTACTACCAACATTACTGAAATTAAAAGGACTATAAGAGAATGCTATGGATAATTGTATGCTAACAAACTGGAAAACTTAGACAAAATGGAGAAAATTCTAGAAACATACAAACTACCTAAATTGAGTTAAGAAGAAACAGAAAATCTTAACAGAGTACAACATATGAAGGGATTGAATTAGTAATAAAAAATCCCTCAAGAAAACAAAGTCCAGGACCAGGTGGCTTCACTGGTGAATCCTACTAAACATTTAAAGAAGAATTAACACCAATGCTTCTGAAACTCTTCCAAAACATAGAAGAGGAGTGAACTCATTCTATGAGGCCAGCATTAATCTGATAACAAAGCTAGCTAAAAAGACCGTAGGAAAATAAGACAACACACCAATATGCCTTATGAATGTAGATACAAATATTTTCAACAAAATACTAGCAAACTGGATCCAACAGCATATTAAAAGGATTATACATCATGTCCAAATGGGATTTATCCCAGGAATGGAAGGTAGTTCAAAATAAGAAAATACATCACATCAATAGAGTGAAGGAAAAAAAAAAAATACAATCATATCAACTGACATAGAGAAACCATTTGGCACAATCCAATACCCCTCCTGATAAAAGTACTCAGCAAATTAGGAATAGAAGGGAAATCCCTCAACATGCTAAAGGGCGTTTATGAAAACTCCACAATGAACATCATACTCAGTGGAAAAAGACTGAAAACTTTCCGCTAAGATCAGGAACACGACAGCAATGCCTGCTTTCACCACTGCTCTTCAACACTGCACTAGAAGTTCTAGCCAGAGAAATTTAGCAACAAACAAACAAAAACAAAAGAAACAAAAGCCATCTAAAGCAGAGAAGAAAAAAGAAAAATTATCTGTATTCACAGATGACATGATACTATATATACTAATCCCCAAGAATCCACAAGAAAGATACTAGAGGTAATAAACAAATCCAGCAAATTGGCAGGGTAGAAGATCAACATTCAGAAATAAGTTGTTTCTAATAACTAGCAATGAAAAATCTGAGAAGGAAATTAAGAAAATCATTCCTTTTACAATAGCATCAAAAAGAATAAAATACCTAGGAATAAATTTAACCACGGGGTGAAAGACTTTTACACTGAAAACTATAAAACACCACTGAAAAAAGATAGAAGATACCTAAATAAGTGGAAAGACATTCTGTATTCATGGATTGGAAGACTTAATATTGTTAAGATGTCCATTATACCCAAAGCGATCTATTGATACAATGCAATTCCTATTAAAATTACAACATTTTTTTGCAGAAATAGAAAAAATGATCCTCATGTTCCTATGGAATTGCAATGGGCCCCAAATAGCCAAAAAAATAGCAAAAAAGAAGAACAAAGCAAGAGAACTCACATTACTTGATTTCAAAAAGTACTATAAAGCTACACTAATCAAAATAGTGTGGTACTAGTTTAAGGATATATATATGGACCAAGGGAATAGAATTGAGAATCCAGAAATAAACCCATACATCTCTGGCCAATTTATTTATGACAAGAGTGTCAAATCCATTCAATGGGGAAAGAATAGTCTCCTCAACCAATGGTGCAAAGAAGATATACAAATGGCCAACAAGCACATGAAAAGATGTTCAACATCATTAGCTATTAGAGAAATGCAAATCAAAACCACAATGAGATACTACTTCACAAGCACTAGATTGCTGTTATAAAAAAAAGAGAAATAACAAGTGTTGGCAAGAGTGTGGAGAAATTCAAATACTTATACACTGCTGGTGGAATGTAAAGTGGTGCAGTCACTGTGGAAAACAATTTGGTGATTCCTAAAAAAGTTAAACATAGAAATATCATATGACCTAACAATTCCTGTCCTTGGTATATACCCAAAAGAATTGAAAGCAGCGACTCAAACAGACACATGTATACCAATGTTCATTGCAGTATTATTCACAACAGCAAATGGCAGAAACAATCCAAGTGTCCACTTAGAGATGAATAACTAAACCAGATATGATCTATCCATACAATGAAGCATTATTCAGCTATAAAGAGAAAGGAAGCTCTGATTCATGCCACCACATGTATGAACCTTGAAAACATCGTGGTAGATGAAATAAGCTAGACAAAATATGACAAATATCATATGATTCAGTTTATATGGAATATCTAGAACAGGCAAACCATTAAGACAAAAGAAGATGAGTGGCTACCAGGGGACATAGGTGATGGAATGGGGAGTTTAAAAAAATGCAGAAATTGTAAAAAAAAAAAAAAGTTATCAAACTAGTAGACGAAATAGCTTGCTTGCTGACATTTAAAAAAGACTAGATTAAAAAAATAATAAAAAAGAAAAAAGTCAATGGATAACAGTCATCTCGATTACTACTAAATGTTTATTACCTGAATAAGTAATGCATACAACAGACTACTTCATAGCACTTGGGGATTAATGGAAAGTATGTGGCGTGTTTCTATGGCGATTCAAGCAACATATAGGCAGGTCAAACCCCCCATACACAACAATAAGACATCAGTGTGAAATAATGGCATTCCTCCTCTGGAAAGACATCTTTCACCTTATGGAAGAGTTAACTTAGGCGTTGAGAGGAAGAGGACCTCCCCATCCATAGACTACAAGACCCGAGACCCATTTTCTCTTCAGTGAGGCAAGTCACCCCACTTCCCCCTCATTCTCTTAGAATTCAGCTCCCTAAAGTCTTGTGCAAGATAATTTTGGCATCATCAGCCACCGTGTTGAGGAATTTCAAATGTAGAATGTAGGTTTTCACAAACTGTAAGATAGAAGATTTGAGACCTCCAGTCACTGAGCAGTAGGCTTCAACACATGTCTTGGCTTTTGCTATTGTACAATCATCCTTCACAAGTAATTGAAAATCCAAGGACTTGATGGAGCTTCTAATCTCCTGCTCAGATATGCCAAAGTTCTGGGCAATCTCTTTGATGGATTTATCATCCAGACCAAAATGACTTCTGTAATGTGCCAAGCACTTCTCCTGTTCAGGCAAGTCAAAGCCATAGATGAATGGCATGAAGGGGACGAAGGCCAAAGCTGATGTCTTCAGGGCATCCAGCCAGATCTTCTCCTTGAAGAAATCTCTCTTCATCTCAATGGCAGAGTCAGACAAGCAGGGCATAAGAAGCACAAAGGTGTGGCGCTTGTGAGCAGGGAGTTCCTTCAACAGCGTCTCCTCCAGCTTTGGGAAATCAAAGTCAGTCAAGTCAAAGTTGGAGACCAAGAAGATGTGTGGCTCAGGCACTCCAATATCACTGAGATTTGCCAGGCAGTAGTCTCGGATCTGCTGAAGGACTCTCTCCTTTTTGAAGGACTTGGGTTTGCTTATCTCTTCATTATGTAAATCATTGTCCACCTTGGTTCTAACAAAGTAGAATTTCCTTCCCACGTTCTTGATTTTCTGAGCCAGTAGAGCATCATTTTCATTGAAACGAGTGGAAGATATGATGATGAAGAAGTCATATTTAGCAAATTCCACCGTTTCTAGATAAGTCTCCAGAGAGAAATTGGGGGCCCCACTGCCAGGCATGTCCCAGAAGGTCACTTTGGGATATTTTGGATGTTGATAGGGAGTTTTCTTCATGGTAGTCTCCACAACCCCAGTACTAGCAGACCCCTCCTCTTCATGACTCAGCCCTCGCAGGGCATTGATGAAACTGGACTTCCCAGTCCCACACTCCCCAATCACAGCCACATCCAGGGGAGCATTCTCTGCTTCCACAAGTGATTTCTGAATCTTACCAACCATATCTTTTAGCTTCCCCTTTACAAGGTCTTCTTGAATATCATTGATGGTTTCTTGCGAGAGGATGCCTCCTGCCTTACTGATCAATGTAGAGTAGTAAGGGAGAAACTCAGAAGACAATTGCTGTAACTTCTTTCCTGATAGGAAGTCTGAGATAAACTGATCCATGGCAGTTAACTATGGGAGGTCTGGGGAAAGTAAAGAGAATATGGAAGTCAGGTGAATGAAACAGCAGAACATAAACATAAGGTCAGCTAGGCAAATATACTGGTCCCTTTATATCGTACATATCCATATTACTATGACTAACTCATTTTCCCTCACGACTTTACTTTCCACTTCTGTAGAAGAGACTACCCGTTTCCTATGTTGCTTATTTCTACATCCCAGGAGTCAGCCTCTCAGACAGTGTGGTGGACAGAATAATGGCCTCCAAAGATTTCCATGTCTCCATCACCAGAACCTGTAAATATGTTGCCTTACATGGCTAAAGGGACTTTGCTGATGTGATTAAGTTAAAGATCTTGAGATGGGAAGATCAGTGGTCTAGGAGGTAAACAGAACCTCTAATTTTCTGTATTAAATATAGGACAGTTTGGAAACATGGATATCTGATTAAACTGTAAGGAAATTCAAGAAAATTATTACTATATATTGATGCAGCCTTATATTCATTCATGATGAGTAAGGAAGGTGATATAGGAAGCTGTGGATTACAAAAAATTATACACATAGGGTAGTCTCAGGGTCTACCAGCGGGTTTTTTACAGTTGGAGACTGCTCACTGCCCACCACCTCCTCCATTTCCTTAAAGGACAATTTTCAAAAGAAGGTAAAATTATGACTCTCATACAAATATACCATGCACACATTTTATTTTATTTATTCATTATTAATGAAGAAACAAGGCAGGTGTTACAACTAGTTTAGAGGAGAATCCGGAAGAACAGAAACATTTATAGCTCAGGAATATTGAAATGAATGTACAAATGGAGGCAAAATTGCCTTCTTCTACAGTGGGAGGGGTATACTGATTGAGCTTTCCTAGGCAGATTTTATTTGCATGTCTATGGAAGAGAATAATTTTGCATTGCTCCCAGTTATTAAAAACTACAGACTCTAGCAACTCAGAAAACCCAGAAGAGCGTGCATTAAGCTATGCATAGTGGAGACACCTTGTAATCTTTTTGTTTATTCCAAATTTTGTTACAAGTTCCTTATAAAAAAGAAAAGCTATCTACAGACACAAGCATCCACTTTTGCTTGCCAAAGACCAGCCTCCCTTCTCCTCCAGATGTGTCTTCTCTCTCCCTCCCCCAGGCAAAGTCCGGTCCTCACTGTCTTCCCAAGTCTTCCTTCCACATACAGGCACACAGAATACGATGACTACTCCATTAATTATACATTCAGTTCAGCTTATATCTTTAAGCTTGTATAACCCTACCCAGAACTGAGCTTAGCAGAAGAATGATCGTCCATGTACCACCCACCACACACTCCCTTGACTTCCTAGTGATCCCACAGCCTGATGTTGCCATTGAGTATTATGAATAGAATGAGTGTTAAGAATTCGGAAAAAAAAAAAAATCTGCTTCATGTAAGCCATGAATGATTCTATTTTATTATTTTTCTCTGCCTCCTGAATTAAGAAATTTGGAGACCCTAGAACAGGAGAGTTTAACGAAACATTTGTGGAATTTAGTGGGAGTCAATTTAAGAAATCATATCAAGTTACTTCTTAAATTTAACACATGGTTACTTTTCAAAATCTGACTGTGATATTACACTCAATAGCAGGACTTGAGTGTGCCTGTTCTCAATTTTCCCAGAATTGGATGTTTACAATCTTATGTCTGCTATCAGTTTGAGAAAACCGTTGTAACTACTACTAGTGTGGCTTTCATTTATGGCAAAATATTCAGATATATCATAGTTGGGGCTCTGGAAAGCCTAAATCCCACTTGCAAATGTAATTTTTATCTGTCAGTTTGTCTAGGCCATGGTGTCCAGTTGTTAGATCAAACACTAGTCTAGGTGTTGCTATCAAGGTATTTGGTAGAAGTGATTCAAAATTTCAATCAATTAACTCTAAATAAAGGAGGTTACCTTTCATAATGTAGGACAGCCTCATCCAATCAGTTAAAGGCCTTAAGAACAAACACTGAGATTTCCAGGAGAAGGCGGAATTCTGCCTCAGGGCTGTAACATAACACTGCCTGAGCTTCTAGCCTGTAGCTTAGCCTACTGAATTCTGACTCAAGAATGCTGGAGTTTACAGCCTGCCTCCTGCCTTTTGGATTTTGGACTCTCCAGCCCTCGTTAACTCATGAGCCAATTTGTTAAAATCTATCTATCTACCTATCTACTACCTACCTACCTACCTACCTACCTATCTATCTATCTATCTACTTCCTCTCTCTCTCTGTGTCTCTGTCTATCTATCTCTCATCTAGAAATATATGGAGTCCCTGGGTGGTGTAAATCGTTAATGTGCTCAGCTGCTAACTGAAATGTTGGGGCTTCAATTCCACCCAGTGATGCCTCAGAAGAAGTACTGCTGATCCACTTCTGAAAACCACCCATCAAAAACCCTATGGAGTATGTTTCTATTCTGACACATGTGAGTTGCCATGAGTTGGAGGAGACTTGAAGGCAACTGGTTATATATATATCTATAGATCCGTATCTATATATCTCCTATTGGTTCTGTTGCTCTGGAGAACCTGACTTCAAATCTTAGAGTTTTATCAATTCTTAAGGAAAGGGAGGACCTAGCAGAATCTGGGATCACGATTTTCTTTTAATTGCCACACCCCCAGGGCATAGTTTAGTGCTCGACACATACCCGACACTTCTTAGATTTTCGAGTAGCTGAATAAAAAGTGTAAGCCTATTCTTGGGATTATGGAATGCATCAAGTTATGCATTTGACACGACTTACATTGACCCTGGCCTAAAGCCTCTAGAATGGGATAGCCTCATATCTCCAGAGCTTTGTCTTCTTTGACATATCAGATCAAACTTGGGGGGAACCCAACTCAAGACCATAGAGTTGTCTGGCCAGGAATCAGCAGAGATCTCTCTTTCCTCTCTCTCTTTCTCTCTCTGTGTGTCTCTCTCTTTATTTCTCTCTGTCTTTCTTCCTCCCTTCCCCTTAAGAATTTGGGCAGTTGGGTCATAATTCTTGCAGGGGCAAGTCTGAGCAGCTATGTTGTGCCTGGGTCCAGTGATAACAAAAATATCTTCACCGAGTGTCCCCCCTAGAGAGGACATGCAAGCTTCTGGTGTTATTGGTGGGGAAGTGGTTCTGTGGGGCTAAGCTCAGGTTATACCTCTTACATAAACACTTTGTATATCATCCATGGATACCTAGGCAAAGTCAGAGACCTGCAGAGATAAAGAATAGAAAAAAGGCAATGACTGAAAGAAGCTAGGATGGAAGAGCCTGGTTCCCAGGCAGGGGAAGTAAACCTTGTCTCTGTCCATTCCTTTCTCCATTTCCATGTATGACAGGCCCAGAGGCACAGCACACCTGTCCTTGTCCTCGTGACTACTTACTGCCCACCCTCTCCTTGTGCTGGATTAGGGCATTTTCTTCTGTGCCTTTAATTGAGCCTCAGCTAGAACAATAATAGAACTATAAAATCTTTGTGGTCTAGTCGATTCCGATTCACGGCCATCCATGTATTAAAGAGTAGACTGCTCCATAGGGGTTTCTTGACTAATCTTTATGGCAGCAGATTACCAGGACTTTCCTCTGCAGTGCTGCTGGAAAGGCTTGAACTGCCAACCTTCAGGTTAGTAGTCAAGCCCCAACTGTTTGCCCTATCCAGGGACATTAATAATAGGACTATACATAAACAAATTATTCAGAATTTCTACAGTGTCTGCACATGCATTATTGATCCTCAATCAGTCTCAATGAAATGAGGAATCATTTTACAGATAATGAGGCTCAGACACAAATCAATGCAACAGCCTTGGACACTGGCTGGGGCAGGAAGACCCAAGACCTCTGCCTTCTTCCAGGGCACTTGTTCATCTACCAGATGCCCAGCTCCCCTATCTCTGAGACCTTCCCTAGCCATGGCCTTACCATCAGATAAACACCTCATGTTTCTCCCCCTACTCCATGTTTTTCGTGAAAAGCCTCTACTCATGGCCACCCCTCTCTTAACTGACTGTATCTGACTCTCACTCTCACCACTCTGCTCCTACCCTTCCTTCCAAGAATCGCAAATCTAATGCACAGACACTTTCTCTTGTTTTTTTTGCAAACGCCGACTGTGGCCAAAAAATCGAGCTGGGCAGAGGGACTGGTGAAACCCCTGAAACTTGTCTTGGGATGGCTGAGGGGTGCTGAGCAGTGGCAGAGAGAGATCTGGGGACCCTCATCATGAATGTCCTGCAGTGGACTGTGCAGATCACAGGACATTCATCATGAGAAACGTCATTGCTGTTCTACATCCAAAGACACTGGAGCTCAAAGTGGAGGTCACAAGTCCCAAATCTCTCACAGGGAGGAAGACTGGATTCACACCTCATTTTGTCACATCAGTCCGATTGTAAGGGACAGGACGCTCTTATTTTCTTTAAAGCAGGGGAACAGCTTTGGACTTTGAGATAAGCACAACTCCAAACCAGGTAAACATCTGCAGCTATTCCACCAGCCTGACTCCAAAAAGGGATATCTTATACCAGACTGTTCCAGATAAAGCCTATTTGCAAACGGCATCTTCAAAGACAGGCTATGTGTAGACTGAAAACCTCCAGCATCTGCTTTCCACCTCAATCCAATAAGCCTCATCCTGCCTTTAAGTCACCCTTGCCAGCCTCCCTGCCCCTTGAAGGCCCTGTGGTCCCCAGCCTGGTTTCCATCCCACAGCAATAGCCCTCGTTATTTTCTGCAAGGAAGATAAGTGTGGAGTCTGAGGTCCGCTGTTCCTTGAATGAGCCCCAAATCCTGAGTCAGAATGCTGTGGTTACTGAGATCTAAGGTTCTGGAACTCTCCCTCGTCTATCTGTCATCTCTGTCCCTGCCCTGGTGCCCTGTTCTTTCTGCTCTTGTAGTCACCACAGAGAACAGGACACAGAAACTGCTCTCAGAATGTCTCAATGAGGCAATGACTAAAATCTATGAAAAAGACATTGTCTACAGCACGTGAGCTGAAACAAGCATTTTGCCTTGACTGACCTCAGGTAGGAAGATGAACATCGAGCAATTCAAATTTATCACTGCTCTGTGCATGTCCCTGAGTGATCGCAAAAGTACTGTATTGATTTTGGGGTTTAAATTAAATACATTTTAATGAGTAGATTAATTCAGCTAATGCAGAAAAAAACAATCTGTGAATAATGAGGACTGACTACTCAATTCAAAAGATTGTCATGATCTATGATGGGAAGAAGAATGGGTTTGGGGAAGGGGACAAGGTATTTTAAGATAACCTTGAAGTCACAAAAGGCAAGATAATTGTATAAGGGGAAGCCTTGTCATTTCCCAAGAAAGAGAAACCAGCCAATCCAGGGCCACATCACAGCAAACAAAGTGGGCAAGGGTTGAGCCCTACAGCTCTTTTTAGACAGGGTCTTCCTATGGGTAACTCTAAAGAGCAGATGCCTTCATGCAGCCTTTGGGAAACTCCTCTATCCATTCAATTCCACAGGCAACTCCTCAAGTCTCAAGGTTTAGAAGGTCATATATTCACAGACAACTCCCAGGCTCACATCCATATCCCAGACTTCTCCCCTGAACTCCACCCTCCAGACTGTTCCCTCCTTCAGGCAGTCCTTAAGAAGGGACTTGGTGTTGCTCCATCAGCTCTCTTCTGGGCTGGTCTAGATTAGATCATGGGATCCATATGGCTGCCCTTTGTCTCAGCAAACTCTGCAACCAGCTTTCTCTTTGGGCTTGCCTGCTGTGGCTTCCTAACCCAACACTCACCTTTGCATTTCTCAGGCTTGTGTCAGACACTAGTTCACTGCCCTCTAACAGCACTGTCCTCTAACTCCTTTCCCAGAGCTCCCATCAAAGCCCTCAGTGTGAGCTCCAGGTGAGGAACAGTCCTCTTACTGGTCCCTTGCGGACAACAGCACCCTGACATGTCCCTCAATATATCTCTTTCACAAAACCCCTCATCCCAACTCTTTTTATACTTCTGTGCTGGTGAGGGCTTTGACAGTCATTAAAGGGAACAACAATTGTCATGACCCAGCCAAAAGTGAGAAAGAAGGAGTAATCCCATTTTAATGTTCGGTTAACTTACCATTAGGGACAGCATCCTGGAGACAGAGGATTTTTAATGTGTTTGTAAACTGAGCTTTAAGCCGTAGAAAGGAAAGATAATTGAATAATGAGAAGCCCTTTCATTCTGAAGGGGCAAGAAAAATCAAATTACCAGTTTGTTATTTAAAACAGAAAGTGGGTAAGGCTGAACGAGCAGTGCCTTGCGCACACCTCCTCCCAGTGTGAGACCTAAAATATGGGGTGTCTATGACTCAGTGCCAACTTTGCTCTATCTAAACTCACTCCCTTGGCTATCTCATCCTGTCCCGTGATTCAAATTCCAAGTATATGCCAGCAACTCCCATGTTATATTTATATCTCCAACCCAGGCCTCTCCCCTGAACTTGAGATCCAAATATTCCATTATTTACTCAACATCTCCCACTTGTAAGTCTAAGATGATCTTGACTAAATGAACTCCACTAAAGCCTAATTCTGGAACAATCTCCCCCTTCTAGTTTAGCTCCTTCCACAGTCTTCATTTCAGGCAACAGCAATGCCATCCTCCATCTGTGAGGAGTCACCCACACAATCCTGTTTCTCTCACACTCCACTTTGGCTTCACCTTCCAAATCTATCCAAATACAACAACTTCTCCCCATTCCACCGCTACCACCCAGTCCCATCGACTTCTCTACCTTGGATGATTACAGAGAGCCTCCCAGAAGTGATCCCACTCTGCACTTGAGTCTCCACAGCTTTGCTGGAAATAGCAACAAATGACCCTTCTAGTAAGAAAGTCAGACCACGAGACTCCCTTCTGCTCACAACCCTCCACAGGCTCCTGCCTTACTCAGGAGAAAGATAAACTCCTTCCAAGCTCTGACCTGACCTGATTCCTGTACCTGAGTGCATTCATCTCCTGCACCCATCTGCCCCTCTCTCTCACTGTGCTTTGCCCCAATCAACTCCCTGTTGTTCTTCCAACATGCCAGATCTGTTTTCTACTTTATCTCCTGTGACTACAAAAATGCATGACTAATGTGCTCAATATGTACTTGTTACATGGACAGAGAGGGAAGATGTTTGAATGGCAGAGAACAGGGAACAAAGCAAATCCCCATCTTTCAAGTCTTCACATGCACAGAGAGCATGAACCAAGATTCTGATTAGGCAAACATAAACCTTCTCTTTGGAGGACGCAGGGGAGGTCTTATGTTTGTAATAAGCAGAAAGAATTGCTTACCTCCACTTGATCTATAGGAAAGAAGAGTAACTGAGCAGGTGAGGAACAGAAACTTACCTGGAGGCAACTTCTATATTCCCCTGCAGATCAACTCTTAGCAATGCTTTTCATGCTCTCCCCACCCCCTGGGCTCCTTTTTACCAGGTTCAGTGGATTTGCCCACCCCATAGTTCTTGGGGCTTCAGGGGACTGGTTTCCCTACAACCATCCCTGGGGATGACTAACCAGGAGAGAGGAGAAAGACAAATACGCAGGGTTAGAGAAATCCAAGATTGGGGAGGTGCAGAATGAACCTCAGAATGACATTGGTCTAGGGGGCAAGGGGAAGGAGATATCAAAATTCCAAGTCTTGAGAAAGTTTCAATCACACAAGAGCCCTGCCCTGTAATTCAGACCCTATACCTCAGCTGAAGTTATATATGAGTTTCTGTTCACTGTTGTTTTCTTCTGGGACAAGCAGGTTGGGGTACTTAGGCAGGATCTTTGCAGGATCCCCAGGACCTTGTTTTCTAGTCTCTGAGAGTGTGTCCACTGCATGTGAGAGAAGAGCAAGGAGAAGGAATGTGAAAAATTCATATTGATAAAGGTTTAGATGTGTATCTGTATATTCATTTCTCATTTCATCTTCTTAACAGCCCCGCATGACATTCTAACTATTCCCACCTTCAGACGAAGGATCAAAGAACTCAAGGAGTTGACAGACAATTCCAGGCTGAGAGACATGCACCTGGGTGTCTTGTTTTTCTCCCAGGCAGTATCGGGGACTCACCTTCCCTGGCCCAAGTGGCTTCTCTGCCCTCCCTTCGCCCCCTGAGCCACCTGCAGGGTGTTCTGATCTGCTTGGATGAAATCACAGCTCTCCATCTGCCCCTCCTGCCCTCAGCTCTCCAGGCACCAAAGCCTGTTTCCAATGTATTTTCTTACTCACCAGCTCCAGAGAGAAAAGAGATTTCTGGTGTCAAAGGTGAGCTCTGAATGTTCCTGCTGAAATGGCAGAAAATCTTGAATCTGGTGAAGGGCTCCCTGCAGTGCACGCCCCAGGAACACCTCACAGACAGTCCTCACAAGTGAAATGCAAGTACTGTCTAGGCCTGTGGTCACTGCAGAGAGAAAGGGACTGCAGAGCCGTTTCCCTGTCTGGTAACAAGGGCAAGTGTGCAAGGCAACAGGAAGGACTCAGCATCTGCCTGCGCCCCACCCTTTAGGGGAATTGACCAGTTGCTGAGGGCTGCATTTACAAGAAATAAAAATGAAACCAGGTTATTTTTTACTCCTTTCTGAAGAGCATGAGCATTTCTAGACTAGCTCCTTCCACAGTCTTCTCCATTTCAGGCAACAGCAATGCCATCTTCCCATCTGCAAGGAGTCACTTACACAGTCTTCTTTCTCTCACACTCTATATTGGCTTAACCTTCCAAGTCTATCCAAATCCAACCACTTCTCTCCATTCCTACCGCTACTGCCCAGACCCAAGCCACCATTATCTCTACCCGGAATGAATACAGAGAGCCTTGCAGAAGTGATCCCACCCCCTCTGCGATGTCTTGGTACAGTGATTGCCTGCCTCTTCTCCCTATAAACTGGCAGTGACAGCCAGGTGACAAGCCAGGGCACAGATGCTGATGGAGTAAAACAAGGCTAAACAAATGCCTGACAGGTGAGGAGTTCATGAAAGCAGATTCTGGCCTGGAAGAGATCATCTGGCCTTCACTTCTACCATTCAAATCCATGTTCATAGGCTTGCAGATATAATAAATAAAAATATATGATGCAAATTAGAAAAGAACTTAATAGAATTCTAAGAAAAGAAAATAGCAGGTGGAACATAGATAAGGATTTGTTTGTTGGAAAATTGAAATAAACAAGACTCAGAAGGTGGTAGAGATGTCTGAAGAGAGAGAAGGGAAGAACCCATACCTACATACATTATGGAGAAAGTTAGAATATTAAATGTAAAGGAAAATTCTAAGGGCTTTAACAAGGAAGGGTTAGATCACTTAAAATGAACAAGAATCAGACCATTACCAAGCTTCTCCACAGTAATACTGAATGCAAAAAGACAATGGAGCAATATTTTTGAAGTACAGAAAGAACTTTACTTTTAAGCTCTTATAGTCAGCTAAACTATCATTTAAATGTGAGGGTATAGCAATAATATCTGCAGGCAGATAATGCTTCAGTATTTTTCCAAAGTGGTCTAAAACAATTTATTACTTTCTTCTAGGGGCTGTGCATTGACTGGGTTCTGTTATGTGATTTGCACCTAAAGTGTCTTTATGCCTTTGCAGTCAGATGGTAATTGGGCTGAAGCCTTCTGAAGTCTTGAGGGTGCTGGACCTCCAAGATGGCTTCTTTACTCAAGGCTCTTATCTTCAGTGTGCCATGAGCACTCAGTTGTTTTGGGCTAATGAGAACTCTTCGTGGTGGAAGTCTTCAAATAGAAAGAGATATACATCCAAGAGATCCTGCAAGAGACAGAGGAAGTAACAGCTGAGGTATAGGGTCTGAATTACAGGGCAGGGCTCTTGTGTGATTGAAATTTTCTCAAGGCATGGAACTTCAATGTCTCCTTCCACTTGTCCCCCAGACCTATGTCATTCTGAAGTTCATTCTGCACCTCCTCACTCCTCAGTGGAAATGTGACATAGGTCTCAGTGCTTCTCTAGCCATGCTCAGGAAATATTCTGTCTCCTGTTCACACTCAGGGTAATCAGAAGTACAAGCAGTCTAATGAAGAAACTCAGACCCATATCAAGTTTAAATCTCCTAACACCAGCTAAGTTCCACCCCACACTGAGAAAACTTCAGTAGGGACCAGAGAAGAATCAGCTTCTCCTGTGTTTCTTCCTTCAATCGTCTCACCTTATAGGGAGTGGGAAGATAGAACTGTAAAGGCAGAAAAGGACTCACTCATGTGGTACAGTTGCAGCCTGCCTGCCTTTGATGCCCCCGGGGTGGTGAATGTCCCTTAGACCCTCATGTAGGAGGTAACTTGGGAGCTCACTCAGACATCCCCATTGGGATCTCTGGGATAGGCAAAGCCAGACCTGGGGCCTCGTATCCCCTCCCTGGCCTCTGCAACAGGTGGGGAAGCTCTAGTTTCTTTCTGTTGAGGTTGTCTTGATCTAGAAACACAGGTCCACCCTGCTGAATCCTTCTCTGCCTCCCTTATTGCTGGCATAAGTTGAAAGCACATCCCTGTGAAATCTGCTTACTAAAGTGACCCTGCCATCTTTCTCAATCTGTCAGCTGTCCTTCCTGATCCAGGCAAGGAAACCACTGGTGGCAGAGCTGGTTTCAAAATCTCTGGGCTGCATAAGGGTTTCACAGCTTGGAATCAGCATTTTGAGGTGTCTGTTCATCCCCTAGAAACAGACCTCCTCTGTCATTCTGTCAGTCACACAGCTCCACTTCCCAGAGCATCTCTCCACTGTTCTCACTTGTCCTGAGGAGCTTTTCTAGATGCTCTCGTTCTAGAATGAGGGAAGGAGAATTGCTGAGAGGTCCAGCACTTGCCCAGGGGCACACAGCAAGTGGTGAGTAATGCTGAGACCCAAACCTCCACCTTCTCACATCTGCCTGTGGGTCAGTTAATGTGTGGCCAGAATCCGAGGATATGGAGTGATCAGCACAGAGGAGGGTCTAGGATTTCTGAGCTTGTAGCCTAGCACACATCACAAACATTAGCAAAATGACTAAGTGTGTTGGGTTAGGTCATCCCAGGTGTGGACAGTGCTGCAGAGAGGAGCAGGTAACAGGTCTTGTGACCAAAGGGTTCTGTGGATGAAGGCCTCCTCAAGGCCATTGTGCTAGAATGGGATACGAGGAGGCACAGCAATGTGAAGGGCTTTTCCAGACAGCGGGAGCAAATTGTTGTGAAGGACTAGGCAGGAAAAAATCAGCAAGACCAAGACTCTAGGAGAAGCCCCTGTGGATGGAGCAGTGAGGCCAGGACAAGTGGGAAGGCATCCCTGTGCAGTGGTTGGACCATGGAAGGTCTTGAGGGTCATGCTCATGATTTTATATTTTGTCCTGCCGCCGTGCTACTTTCAACCTAAGAGTTTGCACTGACACCCTGAGCACTTATCTGTGGGCCAGGCCTTTCAGGGGATTTAATGTTGACATTGCACATAACCCTGAGCCAATATTAGAACTCTGGAGGAGGCGGGGGCCGATCTCAGCCTGGCCCGGCACTAGGCTGGCACGGGATCCTTTTCTGCAAAGCTTCCCCCAGTAACCCTCACCTTTAGGATGAAGAGTGTGAAACCCTATGTGTGCCCCCTCCATGGAATTAACCTAATTCCTAGGAGTAGAAACCGAAACCTGCAACTCACTGAGTCCCCTCTCCTTGGGAGTTTGGAGTCTGGGCAGAAGGATTTAGATTTAGAAAGAGCAGAGCAGTGAGCACGAGTGGCACTGAGTATTTGGCTTGGAAAAGAAATCCTGGATGATCTGACTATGGTTTTCAATTTCCTCTTCTCTTGGTGTCTCTTTGCCTTCCAACGACAATGCCAACTTTCCATAACTCAATCCTGTCCTTCGTCAGCAAACTGTGCCTGGATTTGAATTTTTGACAGTGCCAGAGGGAACTGCCTCTGCCTGGGAGGGCAGCAAACCCTTCACCTGGGAAGGGGTAACATTCTAGGAGTGTCTGCTGACATCTGATCATGGTCCCACCTTTGCTTCTAGGAACTGGTAAATGAGAGACTTCTAAGATGACAACTTGAATAGTCACCGTGCTAATGTAAAGACATTAAAAGGTGGATCCCTGACACATAATGAAGTCTCTTGATTCTCAGCATGGAGATGACATCCGGAGATCAGAACCAGCCTCAGGTAATAGCTGGGATAGCCTGGAATTGTGAGAGTATATCAGTGCTGTCCCATAGGTTTTAAGATTTAAATAAAGAAATACTCAGATTTGTCATGCATAAACTCATTTAGTTTGGTGCAAGGTAGTCATGGCAAGGCACACAAGTAAGACTTAAAGATACTAATTCAGAACCAGAGAATCAGAATTAACAATTACAATGTTAGTTCAGTAGTTAGAGTCCAAATCTTTAGAGTTTAGGCATTTACCTTTAACAAGTGGTCTCGGGAGGAAGGCTTGACCATGGTTTGGACTTGGCAGACGTCCCTCGTAGCTAGGGTTCAGGTCTCTGGTGGTGGACAGAACCTGAGTTCAGAGTCTCAGTTTTGAGACAGAGTCAGACTCTAGAGGGAGATTCCATCTCTGCCTTCTTTCAGTGAGTGAGCAGAAATTCTGAGTTTATATATTAATTTCTTATCTTGGCCTCACATAAAAAGGGCCAGTGTGATGTCAAAGACTAATTTGTTATATCTTCTTTCCAGGATTAGAGATTAGCCAAATGTCAAATTTTTCTTCAAGGTTAGAGTTTAGGAGGTTGTTTAGATTTATGTCTCATGGCTAGTTTACGAAGATTAACTGTTTTATGTTTTCTTTTATCACAGCATTCTGAGACAAAGACAACTTAAAGTCTGTTTTACCATATTCTTCATGTTTATATGTCTAAGTTCAGAAAATTTCTAAATAACTTTCTAATGACTTACAGGTTTCTAATGACTTATAGTTAATGGTTAGAGAGCTTCACAGAGTAGACATATTTCTAAGTTCATGTTATGCATGCTTATACGTATGTAGTTTGAAAGTATCATAGTGACTTATACCTTATGTGATTTGTGAGCATCATAGAAACATACAGAACAAATGCCCCAGCCTGGGCTACTCAGGGAAGAGGGAAGAGGGTGCAGATTCAGGCATGAGGGGCCTAACTGCCCTTTTAAACCAAAGAACCCATTGCCCTCTAGTAGATTCCGACTCATAGTGACCCTATAGGACAGAGTAGAACTGCCCCATAGAGTTCCCAAGGAGCAGCTGGTGGGTTAGAACCACCGACCCTTTGGTTAGCAGGCAAGCTCTTAATCACTGTACCACTAGGGCTCCAACTGCCCTTTTAACCAAAAAAAAAAAAAAAACCAAACCTGTTGCCGTCGAGTTGATTCCGACTCATAGTGACCCTATAAGACAGAGTAGAACTACCCCACAGGGTTTCTAAGGAGCAGCTAGTGGATTCAAACTGCTGGACTTTTGGTTAGCAGCCAACCTTTTAACCACTGCGCCACCAAGGGTCCACTGCCCTTTTAGTCCTTCTC